GGCCGCAAGGCCCACCGCTCGAAAGGCTTGAGCTTTATTATAATCCAAGTTCGCCTTGAGCGGTGGCTATTATATATATATATATATATATATATATATCTATATATATCTGGGCCACTTCACTATACAACACAAGTGGCCACACATACACACATATTTTGCGATAACCAGGGCAGCCTCCTAAGGAGCAACGCCAACGGGAGTCGCCATATAGAGAATTTACATACATGCAACTTTTCGTGTTCATCAACACGACCTTTCGTCTGGCCAGACATTTGCTTTGATATATAGATGCGTTTCATAACATGTTCGTGCTCATCAACACGATCTCAGAATGCATATACTTTAGAGCCTAACTCCGCGTTGAGAATGATCTGACAGCTGGTGGCAACACCTGCCTCGCTTAGGCGAGGCAGATTATGGTGTTGCTTTAACTTGCTCAGATCCTCTTTCTCCGCCCACCGGTGTCTCATTCTTCTCCGCCCTCGAGTGCCGAAGCGTTTTGGGGGGCGCACCGAGGGGGCACCAAAGCGTGCTTGGCGAAGAAATTGGGACCCTGGGTGTTCCTTCTTACCTTACCTTGCAGCTGAGGCTATACTGACTTTGCGCTCAGCTGCCTGCAGACCTGAGGATTGAAGGAGTAAAAGGGTGACGGATTCTTTTCCTCTGTTCCCGAGCCCTACCTTCACGGGCGGGATTCGGGACGGGGTGTGTGAATAGAACCCGTGTAATACCCTCATATATACTCCTTATCCTCACCTCTCCTGCGCCTGGCCGTTTGGGCTCAGGTATTGGAACGGATCGATCACACCTTCGATCGTGCAGGAGGGAAAGACATCCATCGATCCCTCCTTCCCTCTACCAACGGATCAGGGGTTCTGTACCCTTGTACTTCAACCCCATACACACCTTCAGCCGCGCAGGCTCCACAGGCCTCGGGAGACGCGCCAGGGCGAGCGCGGCGGAGGCATGCCGCCAGCGGCGCCTCGGCCCCGCGCCGCGTGGGCGGCGCCGCCTCCGCGGCCGCCGCGCTGCCGCCCTGCGCCGGCGCCAGGAGGCCCCGCCGCCCGCCCCGCCGCGGCCGCTGTGCCCCCCCCACGCCCCGAGAGAGGCCCCGCCCGCCTTTTGGCAGCGTCGCGGTCGCACGACAGCGGGTCATGACGGGCCGATGTGCCACCACCACTGCCACGCGCAGGGCGGGGGCAGAAGGAAGGAGGGGGAGGTCCTCCTCCTCCTCCTCCTCCTCCTCCTCCTCCTCCTCCTCCTCCTCCTCCTCCTCCTCCTCCTCCTCCTCCTCTCCTCCTCCTCCTCCTCCTCCCCTCCTCCTCCTTCCTCCTCCTCCTCCTCCTCCTCCTCCTCCTCCTCCTCCTCCCCTTCGTCCTCCTCCTCCCTCCTTCCTCCTCCTCCCTCCTCCCTCCTCCTCCTCCTCCTCCCCTTCGTCCTCCTCCTCCTTCTTTTCCTCCTCCTCCTCCCCTTCGTCTTCCTCATCCTCCTTTTCCTCCTCCTCCTTTTCCTCCTCTTCCTCCCCCTCCTCCTCCTACTCCTCCTCCCTTTCCTGCCTGTGTCAGCGGTGGTGGAAAATCGGTCCATCAGGTCAGGGGGTCGATCATGGGCTCCCTGCGCAGCGCAGCCGTGAGCACACTCTGCGCGGGAGGCCGCCGGAGGCCGCTGCCGAAGGCACCCTGCGAAGACCGCCCCGAAGAGCCCATTGGAAAGATCGCCGAAGACCGCCAGGGGCCGGCGGGCAACACGGGTTAAGTCGGGCCTGGCCCTTTACAGGAGGGATATTCAAAAATATTCAACAAATCATAGGGTGGCGATGTTTGGTGCATTTTTGGGCCATGTTGGTGCGTTTTTTGGTTATTGTTACTTTTCCTCCACAATCCCCCTGTAGGGGGACAGGCCCGACTTAAAACAAGGGGTCCACGGTCGAATACGGTCGGGCCGAAGTATAAGATCGAAATCGCTAGGGACTCCCCCTGGAACGACCAAAACACAGGAAACCTTCCGGGGCCTTCGGGAAGCATCCCGGAACTCTTCAGGGAGTGGCTTCGAAGGGTTTCGGGAAGGCTTCGGTCGTGTTTATGTGGGGATGTTGGTTCCCAGTGGTCTTCGTGTGTGTTAGATGTTCTTGTGCATCCTAGCGGAGGGTACCCTCGAGTGATCTTACGGTTTGGGGTGTTTTGGCCGGCGGAGGGTCGCATGCTCTTGAGTGGTGCTTTTCTTCCCTACGTAGGTCCGACCGTAATGGAGGATGACGAATGATAAATGACCGGGGGTCGTGTTCACGCGGCGGCGCCCGGGATGACGATTAGAAAAAACCGGCCGCGGGCTGGGAAACTATTTTTTTTGTTGTTTTTATCATCGTTCTCCTCCAGTCAGAAAATTATGCAGAAATAGCGGAAAACTATGTGTTCAATCGTTCTCTCCATTTTTTAAAGTAATCGTCATCCCGCATTACGCTGCGCGGGGAAGCGTAAGACTCGAGCTCGCCAGAGCTCGGGCTTGCCGGCGCCTCTTGACGGCCCCGTCCCGAATGTGGACGGCCTGGTCTCCGTGGGATGTCTGCAGGGGTTACCAGCCTCGAACGTATCCCTATCCCTAAGATTGACACGCCAAAAGGCGATGACAATCTCAGGGATTCGCCCTCAAAAAATAAGGGGATCCCTTAGATTGGCATCGTGATGAGGAGGTGCCCAGCATAGGGATAGGGATATGTTCCAGGCTGGTAAAGGGGGGGTAGCTCCCGTCAAATTTCAGATCGGGTCTTGTCATTTCTCTCTTACGGCCCCGCTGGGCCCATCCGAGTCCTCCAAAAACGAGAGTCTCGCGTTTGCTCGGTTGCTGAGCGCCATCGCCCAGCCTGGGCGCAGGAGACTGCAGGAGACCGCCGAGGACCGCCGAGGACCCTCGGGTGATCGCCGAAGACCCCCTTGGGGCCGCAGGGGTAGCAGGGGGTCCACGGCCGAAGACGCCTGCGCACGGACAGAGGCCAGCCCTCGAGCCCTCGAGCCCTGTCGGCTCCGGGTGGCTCCCGAGCCCGGGTGAACCAGAGGATCTCGGAGGGTTTTGGTCGAATCCCAGTATAGCGCTGACCCCCGTTACGTGAGCCCCGACCTGCGACATCGTGTGGGTCTCCAGGGCTCTCGATCCTGCCCACGGGATCCAAGGTAATTGTTTGACGGCCCTGGGGCACAGCAGCGGCTTCGAGCACTGCTCGGGCCGGGGGAAAGGGGGGGACAGCAGAGGGGGTGGTTGAGAATCAGCTCACGTAATCAGCTGATTTTCCTGGCGCCTCCGGGCGCCGGGAGGCGCCCATGTATCGAGGCATGTGCCCGGCGGAGGGGCCGAAACCAGCTGCATGCAGCAGATTTCGTAACCCCCCCCTGTGCCGGTCCCCCCCGTTCGTTCGCCCCGAACTGCGACTGGCCGCCTCGAAGCTGCGTCGGTGACGCTGGGAACTATTTCGTGGCCAGCCTGGGTTCGCGACGTGGCTTTGGCTGACCCGGCTTTGCGCTGTCCCGGGAAAGTGTTTCCCCGAGGAGGAGTGGAGAGAGGGTCGCTTGGGAAGCCGTCGTCTCGTCGTCGCCCAGATGACAGGCAACGCATGCACAGTGTTTCAAGTCCGGCATGACAATGTGTGGTGTGGTGACCCTTTGACCCGTAGAGGCGCGACCACCTTGACCTTTTCACCCCTTTCCCCGAGTTCGCCTCGAATGCACGGTGGGCGCTCTGCTGAAGTTCGCTTGGCTGACTCACGCGAGCCCGAGATGACGAGATGCCGTCGAGGAGCAGGCCCGCCACCATCCCAAGGGCGACCGCGACTGGTCGACGGTTCCCCCCCCTTTTGCCTGCGGGCGACGCGAGCGCTGGAGCCATGCAGCGCAGCGCAGGCCGCCGCGGTTCGTGACCAGTCCTCCCTCCTTCCTCCCGTTTCCCTCCCTCCCTCTTTCTCGATTCCTCCTCCCCGGTCCGTCCTCCTTCCTCCGCTCATCGTCCTGCCTCCCCCCCCCGTACCCTTTGGGACACGAGGCGCTGTCTAGTATTGCTCCTGGTGATGCTGTATGGCCCTGAGCTTGCCCCGATCACCTCACCCAGCATACAGCTACGCGTCTGATGCTTTGTGAGACACGTTATTGCTCCGTCAGTATTGTGCTCGTTGGGCCACGCAAGGTTGACAACGGAAATGACGCTTCCGCGCACCAGTGCATGATGGAACGTTTCATTCGTGATGGCTGGTCGTTGATGGGCACCGTTCTCGCGGACAATTTGATTCGGGAGATCACACCGCCTAGAGACCCAGCGATTGGTGACATGGCCGACGGCACTCAGCGGGCTTCTCTGCTGCAGTGGGCATCTGGAGTTCGCCGTCGCATGCTCAACCATTGACCTCTGAAGGATTCAGTCGCCTTTGCCGAAGAGCTGGGTCGGGCCTCCCTTGCGACCTCCCAGAAGACGCGCCAGACAAGCAGAAGAGATTGACGGTGAGGAGCAGGAGAGTTATGCAGACTGTGGGGGGCCCTCACTGCTTCTGGGGAGTTTGGGGGGTCCTCCGCCTCCCTCTCTCCCTCGGACCTTTCTCTCCGTTTTAGCCCTCCTCTCCTGTCCCCTTGCCTCCCCTTCCCGCCCTCTCCCCCATCCCCTCCTCCCCTCCGCCTCCTCTTCCTCCTCCTCCTCCTCTCCTCCTACTCCTCCTCCTCCTCCTCACCCTCTTCTCCCTGCACCTCCCCTCCTCCGCCTCCTCCTCCTCCTCCTCCTCGCTCCTCCTCCTCCTCCCTCCTCCTCCTCCTCTCCTCCTCCTCCTCCTCCTCCTCCCCATCTGCTGTCAACTCCCTCCCCCCCTCTCCCCCTCGTTCTGACCCTTCCTCCTCCGCCGGGTAGCCTTCTCCCCCGTCTCCTTCTCCTTCCTCTCATTCCCCTCCCTCCTCCGGCCCCTCCTCCCTCGCCTCAACCTCTCCCCCCCTCTCTCGTGCCTCCTCGTCCACCCGCCTCTCGAGAAGGTGGCAGGATCAGGGCGCCATGCTCGTCCAAGACGGAAGCCTCCCGGTCGACGGCCACCGCGCGGAGAAGCCTGGCGGTCGCCATGGCCAGCGCGGAGGACGCAGACCCGTCGGGTGGGGCGACAGGAGGAGGAGGAGGAGGAGGCGGAGGTGGAGGAGGAGGAGGAGGAGGAGGAGGGGGAGGAGAAGGGGAGGAGGAGGGAAGGAGGAGGAGGAGGAGGAGGAGGAGGAGGAGGAGAGGACGAGGCCAAGGATGAGGAGATGCAGCTGATCAGATCCCGTCGTATATGCGTCCAACATCTTAACTTGGAACATGGCCCGAACCTGAAGCAGCAGAAAATACCCCAAAGTACCCAAACACGTCGTCTCCGAGAGTCTGAAATGAGCCCGCATAACATCGTGAGAGTTCTAGTAGGCGAGTCAGTTAGATGCACGTGTAGCGCTGTTTTCTCTGCCAAG